GATAGGGAGTTAAGTCAAAGCAGGAACTCAGTTAATTACTGTGAATCTCCACTTATAAAGGTTAAACAGCATCCAGTGATGAAACGGTACCTTCAGTCACTGAGAGGCAGCCAAACCCTCCCTCTGGCTGGAGGGGCATCTACCTAGTTTTTACTGTCTCATCCTCACTCAAACTCTAGCTAGGCTTTCCTCTGTCCTACCTGCCTTGAAGTATAGGCCCTGAACTCGACCCAGACTTTTTTCTGTCCTATAGGCCTTGAGGTACAGGTCCTGAGATAGTTTTGGCCCAACATCTCCTTCTACCCTGTCACCAGGCCAGAATAGCCCATCAAGGAGAGAGTTCAGGTCAGGGCCACCCCTATCTGGAGTTGCGGCCTGGACACCCTCAAACTGAGAGTTCATCTATGGGGTGAGATGTATCGAGCCTATCATAATGTACTCCAAGGGTCATGTACCTGTTGTATCTGTTTTTGGAATGCTTGTTTCAGCCTTGGGAAAATGCATGGGCCAAAAGGACAAATCAATAAACAAATAGCCATCAGCCCAATTAGGAAAGAAATGAGTGTGGTAAGCCATGGGGACCAATTAAACCAGATCTCATAGGGGATCCTTGACTTAAATGTATCAATATCATTTCTTAACTCTTCTAGGGTTCTTGTAACTATCCCGGAATGGTCTGCATAGAAGCAACATTCTTCCCCAAGTGCCCTGCAAGTTCATCCCTGTTCCATAAACAGCAAATCCACGCTTCTCCTATTTTGTAAGGTTACTCTTGCTAAGGAATCCAAATAACGTAATGCAGTATCTGTCTTTTCTAATTATGCCCATCCCACATCCCCAGGAAGAACAATAGTAATCAGGAACCCCCCCCCCCGCCCCCCGCTGGTACTGCTGCAGTTTCTAATAGTGGAAGCAGTCTGGTTGCTTTCTGGACATACATAAAAGGGTGTTTGCAGGAGGGCATGTCTCTAAAGACATGAGAACACCCAGGCTCATTAGGGTAAGATGCCTGGGGTAGGATGCACCCCTGAGAGTCTCCGCATTCAGATCTCCCTTCGATCCCCTGAATCCAGTCTCCCACGTCACAGCTCCCATGTGCCAAATCGCAGAGGTCAAACATCAGGTAAGGCCACCATGTCCAGGGTGTCATCATCTGAGAAATCTGGTTTAGGATCCCTCCAGTGCCAGTGCTTGACAGGATTCATGTCACCTTCTGTGCTTGGTGGGGGCTTGCTGTCTGAACCTTGGTCCCCATGAGAAGAATTAACGAGATTATCGCCGAGAAGACCATCTGAAATAGATAAACAAGCAACACTCTCCTCAAGGGTTAATTTCCCTTGAGTAGTGGTTATTTTTTTTTCTTGTGTTTGGATTTAAGGTTTATCCACCATAATCTCTTTCTTTCTTGGTCATCTTAGTCATCCCCATTGTCCTTAGGTGAGGGTAGAAATTTTAAGTTTTGAGTGGGTAGCCATATAGACATTTCCCCTCTGTTTGGAAAGACATATCCATATCTGTGTCAACAAGCGATCCGGGCCCCTCCATTGGTTAGTGAGAGGATCCTTCCACCTAACCTTTAGGCAGGGCCTCATTAGTAGGGATCCCCAATGTTTCTGGAATCTATTTTGTTCATCTGATTTTTGAAAATTTAAAATATTGATGTTTAACAACTCCTTTTGCAGTTGTAGATGGGGGGGGGAGACTTCTTCCCATTTTGTTTTATAAGGACCTATTTGAGATATTGATGATGTCTTTCGACAAATGCTTGACCCTGAGGGTTTTATGGGATCCCAGTAGTATGGAATATATTCCATCTCTGGAAGAATTCTTTTAATGTTTCACTTGTAAAATAGAGGCTGTTGTTGGTCTTGAACTGTTGTGATAGTCCCAATGTAGCAAAACATTGTAGACTTTAATTCTGTTGCAGGGATCTGGGGGTATAAGTATTTGAGTCCTCTCCAGTTGACATGAATTAAGTCATGAATTTGGGTAGCATTTTATATGGGCAGAAGTGAGACCTATATGAGACAAGCCCCCGAAGTTGTAGTATCCGCAGCAGCATTCCCTTGGGAAATGAGGCCTCAAGGTACAGGCTCTGAGATAATTTTGGAACTACAATCTATCAACAGATGTGAGCAGATACAGAGAACCACAGGTAAACACTAGGTGGAGCTTGTTTAATCCTGCAGAAGAAGGGGAGGAAGGAGCTAGAGAGGTCAAGGACACCACTAAAAAACTCACAGAATCAACCAAGAAAGACTCATAGGGGCTCACAAGACTGAACCAATAGTTTGGGAGTCTGTGTAGGCCTGACCTGGGTCCTCTGCATTTATGTTATGGTTGTGCAGCTTAGTTTTCTCGTGGGACTCATAACAGTGAAAGTGAAGGCTCTCTTTAGCTTTTTTGCTTGCTTTGGGAGACACTTCCTCATTTGGTTTTATATGAGGTCATGTGCCTAGTCTTATTGTTACTTGTTAAACCATGTTTGGTTGATAACCCTAGGAGGCCTGCCCGTTTCTAAAGGGAAATGAAGGAGTAGGTCTGGGGGAGAAGGGAAGAGGGGAGACTGGGAGGGAAGGAAGTAAGGGAAACTGTGGTCATGATGTAATATATAAGAAAATAATAGTTAAAAAAGAAAACTCATTTTTGGTAACCTAAAGTTGTAACTGATCTATTGTTTCATTCAGGACCATGAAGGTCAAAATTCAAGTCTATCAACTTAAATCACAGTAACGTCCTAGCCCTTGGGTTACTTCTTGTTTAACACTTATTCCTGTTTGGAATTCTTTCATATTTATACCCAGGAAAATGACATTTTAGTAAGACTCAGTGACATGTGAGAGATGTGGCTTTATTTTGTTATCCAAAAGAAAGACAGCTGGGAAGGAAGTCACCTTGAACAACACCATCGTGTCTACTTAAATAAGAGTACATGTGTGTACTAAAAGGTTAGAAGTCCAAATGGCCAAGAGACACTTAAGGTCACGTTCAACTTCCTTAGCAATCAGGAAAATGCAAATCAACTCTGAGATACCATCTTATACCTGTCAGAATGGCTAAAATCAAAAACACCAATGATAGCCTATGCTGGAGAGGTTGTGGAGTAAGGGGAACACTCATCCGTTGCTGGTGGAAATGCAAACTTGTGCAACAACTTTGGAAATCAGTGTGGTGGTTTCTCAGGAAATTCGGAATCAACCTACCTCAGGATTCAGCAATACCACTCTTGGGAATATCCCCAACAGATGCCCAATCATACCACAAAAACATTTGTTCATCTATGTTCATAGCAGCATTATTTGTAATAGCAAGAACCTGGAAACAACCTAGATGCCCCTCAATGGAAGAATGGATAAAGAAAGTGTGAGATATATACACATTAGAGTACTATTCAGAGGTAAAAAACAATGACATCTTGAATTTTGCATGCAAATGGATGGAAATAGAAAACACTCTTCTGAGTGAGATAACCCAGACCCAAAAAGATGAATTTGGTATGTACTCACTCATTTGTGGACTCTAGCCATAAACCAAGATCATTAAGCCCATAGTTTTCAGAGAAGTCAAATAACAAGGTGAACCCAAAAAAAACCATATATAGATCTTCCTGGAAATTGGAAGCAAACAAGATTACAGGGCAAAAGCTGTGAGCATGGGGGTGAGGACAGGGGTGGAGGTGAGTTTGGGGGAAGGGAAGTAGGGGAGAGACAAGGGAGAAGGGAAGGACTGGCAAGAGCTTGGGGGAGTGGGAGGGTAGAGATGGATGAAGGGCAGATATAGGAGCAGGAAAGAAGATACCTACAGTAAGGGATCCATTTTAGGGTTTGCAAGAGACTTGGCTCTAGAGGGGATCCCAGGTGTCCACGGGATGTCCTCAGCTAGGTCCTTGGAGAGCAGTGTAGAGGGTGCCTGAACTGTCCTTGCCCCACTATCATGCTGATGATTATCTCAAATATCACCATAGAATCTTCGTAGGGTGACTGATGGAGATAGAGACAGAGACCCTCATCAGAGCAATGGACTGAGCTCTCAAGGTCCAGTTGAAAGGCAGAAGGAGGGAGAAGATGAGCAAGGAAGTCAGGACCGCAAGGGGTTGGTCCACCAACTGAGGCAGTGTGCCTGTTCTAATGGGAGCTCACCAAATCCAGCTGGACTGGGTCTGAATGAGCATGTGATCAAACATGACTCTGATTGTGGCTGACAATGGGGGCTGACTGAGAAGTCATTGATAAAGGCACTGGGACTTGTTTTTATGGCATGTTCTGGCTTTTTGGGACCCTAGTCTAGGTGGATGCATAGCTCCCTAGATCTGGATGTAGGGAGGAGGGCCTTGGACTTCCCACTAGGCAGGATTCCTGGCCCTCTCTCAAGCAGGGCAGGAGAGGGAGGGGGAATGTGGGGGAGCGGGAGGGGATTGGGAGGAGGGAAGGAAGTGTAAATAATTGAAGGGAAAAATAAAAATAGAAAAAAAGAAGCTAATTATTTTCAATTTCTTCCTGCCTCCTTACACCTTGCAAAGTTCTCCTGCACATGGGTTGGAATTTATTATTCGAATTGGTGAACTCCATTAAAAACATGTTATTTGCTTTACTATATTTCGTGCCAAACAATGTATGCAATGCTATCTGTTCAGTAATGAGGGACTAGGAGAAGTGGAGGATCAGTCCATTTCCCATTCTTCCCATATGTTTCCTAGCCACACACCTCACGTGCCGTTCTGAAATTTAATCTGAGGTACTAAAAATGTTGTCTGGCAAGAGGTTTCCCGAGATAGGAGAGATAACATTAAAGGCTTAACATAGAAGTTGAATGGTAGTAGTGCATGCCTTTAATCCTAGCACTTAAGAGGCAGAGATAGGCGGATATCTGTGAGTTCAAGGCCATCCTGATTTACAGAGTGAGTTCCAAGATGGGATCAAAGCCACACAGAGAAACCCAGTCTTGAAAAACAAAATAAATAAATAAATAAAAATAAAGAGAGAGAGAGAGAGAGAGAGAGAGACAGATAAAAATTTGCTTTTATTTTTCAAGAAGCAGTATTAACAGCGAATATGAATTCATCAAGGGGATATGAGCCAGGTTGCCATGTTGAGACTGCAGTTTCTTTAGAGTCATTATTTCCAAACTAGGTTCTCAGTCTCCTCATTCTCAGGCCAGTTGGCAGCAGCGGGCGGTGGTCCAATCCATGCCTTTGCACTGACAGTGGCAGGTATTTCCATTCTGGACATCCCATGATCCACAGCCATAGCCACAGGCACAACCAGTGACAGCCATCCCTGCATGGTCACATGAGGCACAGACATCAGCACCTTTAGACTGCAAGAGATGGAAGGTCCCTAACTGTCCTTTCCTCTTAAGAGGCACATGGGTGGATCTAGGTTTTGCGGGGCATAAAGCTCTTCAAATTTCAGAATTCTCTTCAAGCAAATGAAATGCAAAAGTTACTTAAACTGAAGGACCTGGAAGGAGGAGTTTCACAGTCATTCAGTTGATGGCAATTTCACCCTTGTTCTGGTCTCCTGCCCACTAATGTGAGGAATAGATAAGGAAATGAATAGAGATTAGAAAATAAATTGTCCATGACCAGATGACTGAGGAACAAAAAGGGCTGGCATGTGGGACTTGAAGGAAGAAGTGACAGGAAGAATGAACCCAGAGTCCTTCAGCAACCTCCTTCAGGTAACTGAAAACTAGAAAGAGACTATGGTTCAGCTCCATGGCAGTATAAACCTGAGTTAGGACAAGGTGGTAATTGGAAACTGATGCGGGTAGACACAGGGATACCTTACTCACAAACGCTCCTTGAAGAGTTACTCACCAGCAGGACAGGAGGCTAGTGTGCCGGTAGCGGTGACACTAGTGCAGGACAAAGACTTAGTCGCAGTGAAGGGACAGTCATCTGAGTAAGAGGAAAGAAGTCATATTGTCCATGATCTCTCTCACAATTCCCTTTAAGTCGTCTTCTATCTTGGCCGTGTCACTGTTTCCATAATTAGTCCACTCACTAACTCTTAAGACCAGTTCCTTCATTTGTGATGAGAAAGTAGTAAAAAGTAAAGTATACTTACCTCAGAAGTGGCCTTGAAAATTAAATGAACTAACTAAAAGATTAATATTATACCTGTTTCATTATGCATTCCCAAATTACACGCCTGTCCTCCTTTTCTTCATCCTCATCAAGAACATTGAGTTCTTACCTAAGAGTTCCAACGGGTAGAGTACTAAGGAAAGCCCTGGTCAGGAAAGCAGGGAAGAAGTAGACTGAACAGAGGCTGAGATCTTAGAGTGGGATAGAAGGGACTTTCGGTTTTATGAACAGTCAGCATGAGCAAGGATTAGCCTTGGTTTCTCCTACTCATCCCGTACCTCCACAGTGGAGAAGTTTCTTGATTTTTTTCTCCAGGAGTGAGTCTAAGGTCTCTGCAGTATTCACTGGGGCCATCAGCTCGAGAAGGGAGATGAAGATGAGAAGGTAACAAGTTGCAGTCTTCATCCCGTTGAAAGTCAGTGTCCTTGGGCTGGAAGAAAAAGTCAAAGAAGATGAGATCTCTGAGCTCTGGCATGGCTGTGGGGAAAATGATATATTCTTGAGAGAGTAGGGAGGGAGCAACTCAAGGCTGTAACTGTGGTCTCTGTTTAGAGAGGCAGAGAGGGTCCCCACAGTGCTGACTGACTCACCAGAAGCTCAGGAGTGGTGCCAGGGCCTGACCAGATGAGATGCTTTAGTACACTGTGGGATTGTTGACCTGGATACCCAAATATATATAAGAACACCCAAATGATGTAAACATTTTCAGTACGTTTTGACAGCCCGGATGTCTTGTACAGCAATTTCCTGTGAATTAAGACACTTGGTTAAAGTACAAACAGTGAGTTTCTTGAGAATGAGGAAGTAAAGCCTCTTCACTTGTGTGGTGAAGCTGAAATAAGATTTTCCTCCACAAAGTTATGGGAGAAGCAGCTATTGACTTCGTTTAGCTGAACTGCCAAGTCGTGATTCTTGGCCCATGGAAGTTCCTGGAAAACCTTGCAGAGGGATCTATAGATGCAGTATTAGGGACTCATAACACATTCTGGTGTGAGCTTTTCAGTAATAGAGCTGCACTCAAGTTGTCCAGCTCCTGGAATTAATACACATACATGCACACAAACACATGTGTACATGAACGCACTTAGAGTGACACAGAGAATGTGTTCTGTATCCTAAAAACAAGTCTTATGCAACACACTTGACACCAAAATTCAGACAGGAGAACCAAAGTTTTTAGGGAAGAGAGGCTACATGTCTCTCCAATGGGTTCTGAGTCTTTTTCCCACATGGGGTAAGCATAGCTGTTGCTACATCAGCAGTAGTAAGGGGCTTTGTGTTGGGTGATAAAACATGAAATCAAGGCTGAGCTATCTACCCAGTGGGAAAGTCTGGGTAGAAGAGATTTAAGTGGAACTGTCTTCCTTTAAGTATTATAGAGTAACATGCCTGTTCAATAAATGGGGTCTGCTGTGTGAATTTAAAATGCTATGAAATAGGCTAAAGATTTAGAGAAAATTCTATGATCCTTGAGAGCAACAAGTAAGGGAAGAGAGTATATACTGTAGTGAGGCTGACAAACTACTGCTAAGTGTAATACAAAATGCATCTACTGTTAAGATGTCAAGTCAGTAGAAATTTGCTTGTGGGAGACAGAAATTACAAAGTAAAAGGAATATATAGCTGTTATGTTCTGCATGAGCCCCTGGTTTGAAGTAGAAATGGTCTTACCCACTTCTTAGAGCTGGCAGGATGGAAGAGAAAGATAATTCAAGTTAGATTTGTACTAAAGATCCCTTCCTGGTATTCAAATACTTGAAATCCAAGGAAGAGTCAGGTAGTCAAGAAAAGAAAATAATAAACAAAGTAAGTATTACAGAAGTGATAACCAATACCAAGTTCACCTGGTAAAATAAGACTATGTTCACTCAGGAGTTAAAAAACCCAAACTCAAAAGACTTGATTCATCAGAAACCCCAGGACTGTTACAGGGCATTAGTTGCATTTTCTATGTCCCTTGGTGACAAGGAATCCACAAGAAACTGAAAAGGCTCTAGCAGACCTACATGATTCTAGACCAGCAAATACATGTTTACAAACATCTTAAAGCACTCAGGAAGAGATGAGGAAAGGAGAAAGAAGTGATGAGTCATGGTCAGGTTACTAAAACACAAGTGTCGTAAGTCCCTGGTGGGGGGACTGATAAAAGGACAAATACTGTGCTTGTGGCTTTTTGAAAGGCTTTAAAGCCCAAGCAAGGGTTATAGGAGTGAAAACAGGAGGGGCAGAAGTGGTCTCATCTGCACCCCATGCAGGGGAAGGCAAAGTCATTGGATGGAAACCAGCAAGCTGTCTTTCTGACTGCAATTGAAGGCTGTAGAAGGCAACTGGAGGCCTCTTGCCAAATAATGAAGTCATGGGTCTGCTAAGAAAGTACAAGTTACTTAGATATTGGGGAGTGTTGAACCCAAAATTACATTAATGCATTAGAGTCCCCAAAAGCACTTGGGGCAATAGGCAGATGGATCTGGGGGAAGAAAAAAACAGTCTAAGACTGTGGTTTCTATTTTGCTTACTTTAGGTGGCAGATGAGCAATTTGTAGATTGGGAGCTGGTACTATAACCAAAGTCCCTCCAGTCCACTTCATTGTCCTATGCATGAAGCCTTCTAACTTATCTGGGGATAAATAAACTAAAAGAAGCATATTCAAACATGTTCTTTAACCATTTCTGTTTAGTACATTTCCCAATACATTTAGGCACTGACCGTAAAAGAGAAATGTCATATAAATCATAAAACAAAAAATTTTTATGCAATACCACAAATATAAATACCAAAAATAAAAATAAAACAGGAGCCAGCGACCTCAACCTGAGCAGGCCTGAGACAGCAAACTTCAGAGAAGCAGGTACAAAAGAGCAACTGCTAAGGGAGTAGGCAAGAACCAGAGACCTCTGCAGGAAGCATGTAAGTCTGGGATCTCTGAGGGAGTAGGCCTGAGCCAGGACCTCTGCAGGTCCTGGCATGAGTCTGGGACCTCAGAGGAACTAGACCAGAGCCAAAGACCTCTGTGGGTCCGGGTTTGAGTCTGGGATCACCAAGGGAGTGAGCTGGAACCAGAAATCTGTAGGTCCAGGCATAAATCTGAAACCTCTGAGGGAGTAGGCCTGAGCCAGGACCTCGTCAAAGCAGGCCCAAGGCAGCAACCTCAGCAGAAAGAGCTGCAAGCAAGCAATCTCTCTGGAAGCAAGCCCAGGTGACCCCTGGAATTGCAGAGTGCACCCCCTAGAGCCGAGTGACCTCCAGGAACAGGGAGTAAACAATGAGGTGATTGGAACCGTGATCCTGATTGCACCACAAGGAGCAACCATCTAAGCCTTGAATTCACTGGCACCTGGAATATAGATCACCAGAGTCACAGATAGCCTCAGCTACACCAATCAGAGGAAAAGACGGGTAGACAAGGTAAGAACATACACAATGCTACAATGAGCAACATGATACCAGTAAAAACTAGTGACCCTACAACAGCAAGACTTGAACAAAAAAATATAAGTGAAGCAGAAGAAAATGACCTAAAAAATAACTTTAGGAGAATGTTTGAGGCCCTTAAAGAGGAAATGAAAAGTTTCCTCAAAGAAATGGAAGAAAAGAAAAACAAAAAATTGGAAAACATCAACAAATCCCTTAAAGAAAACCAAGAAAAAGAAATCAAACATATAAAAGAAACTATTCAAGACTTGAAAACTGAAATAGAGATAATAAAGAAAACACAAACTGAGGAAATTATAAAAACAGAAATCATGAGAAAATGATCAAGAACCACAAATGCAAGCATAAACAGCAGAATACAAGAGATGTATTAATCAAAACATTAAGCATACAGAATAAAGAATATTAAGAGCTGCAAAGGAAAAAGGCCAAGTAACATATAAAGGCAGAACTATCAGAATTACACCTGACTCCTCAATGGAAATAATGAAAGCCAGAAGGTCCTGGCCAAGAGTTATGCAGACATTAAGAGACTAGGTTTCCCAGTCAAGACTACTATACCCAGCAAAACTTTCAATCACCATAGAAGGACAAAACAAGATATTCCATGACAGAACCAGATTTAACTGTTACTTAGCCACAAATCCAGCCCTACACAAAGTATTAAAAGGAAAACTCCAATCTGAGGAAGTTGGCTACATACACAAAAGCACAGATAATAAATAATCTTACAACATCAAATCCCAAAGAAGGGAAAAACACAATAACATCACCACCAACAAAAACTAAATTAACAGGAGATAGCAATCACTCGTCATTTATATTTTTAATATAAATGGACTCAACTCACCTATAAAAAGACACAGGCTAACATAATGAATACGAAAACAGAATCCATCTTTTTTCTGCTAACAAGAAAACACCTCAACCTCAAGGGCAGACATTGCCTCAGAGTTAAGGGTTGAAGAAAAAAATTCGAATCAAATGGACCTAAGAAACAAGCTGGTGTAGCTATACTAATATCTAACAAAATAGACTTCAAACTAAAATCAATAAAAAGAGTCAATGAAGGACATTTAATATTAATCACAAAAAAAATCCATCAAGAGGAAATCTCAATACTGAACATCTATGTCCCAAATACAAAAGCACCCTTATATCTATAATAAACACTTCTAAACCTTAAATCATACATTAAACCCCACACAGTGGGAAATAGTGGGAGACTTCAACACCCCACTCTCACCACTGGACAGATCAGTCAGACAAAAAAATCAAAAGAGAACTAAGGGAGTTAACAGATGGCATGACTCACAGGAACTTAACAGACATCTACAGAACATAAAAGATCCATCCAAACATAAAAGAATATACCTTCTCTCCACACCTCATGGAACCTTCTCTCAAATATTGACCACATACTAGGTAACAAACTAAACCTCAACAGATACAAAAAAAAAAAAACTGGAATAACCCCATATACCTTGTCAGATCACCATGGCTTAAAATTAAAATTCAACAGCAGCACTTATTCCAGAAAGCTCACAAACACATGGAAATTAAACAATGCTCACCTGAATCATCAATGAATCAAGGAAGAAATAAAGGAAGAAATTTAAAACGTCCTAAAATTCAATGAAAATGACCACAAAACAAACCCAAATTTATGGGACACAATGAAAGCAGTGTTAAGAAGAAAGTTCATAGCACTAAACGCCTACATAAAGAAGCTGGAAAAAAAATCCCACACTAGTGAATTAACAGAACATTTGAAGACTTTAGAACAAAAAGAAGCAAACTCAGCCAGGAAATAATCAAATTGAGAGCTGAAATCAACAAAATAGAAACAAAGAAAACAATACGAAGAATAAAAAAGACAAACAGTAGGATTTTCAAGAAAAATCAACAAATTAGTCAAACCTTTAAACAAACTAACCCGAAGGCAGAGAGAGAGAGAGAGAGAGAATATCCAAATTAAGAAAATTAACAAAATCAGAAATGAAAAGGGAGACATAACAACAGACACAGAAGAAATATAGAAAATCATTAGGTCATATTTTGAAAACCTGTACTCCACAAAATTGGAAAACTTAAAGGAAATGGTCAACTTTCTGGAGAAATATCACTTATCAAAATTAAATCAAGATCAGATAAACAAATTAAATAAACCAGTAACTGATAAAGAAATATAAACAGTCATCAAAAGTCTCCCAAGCAAAAAAAAAAAAAAAGCCCAGGACCAGATGGTTTCATCACAGAATTCTACAAAATTTTCAAAGAACTAATACCAATAG